ATCTTTGGTCACCTTATTTGTGATTTATGATTTTGTGTTCATATGTCAAGAATGTTCGTAGGAAATAGTGCAGTCGTCTTAGTGACCAATAAAATCAATAGTCTCTTGAAAATGATTCTTTGATTACTCTTCTATTTAGTTATTTCAGGAACTGAGATGAGTTAATAGGATATGGTCTGTTTGATGGAGGTACCATAAGTTTATGTAATTTGTACATTAATGATAGGATCTACTAGGGAGGTAATGACTTATTGATCTTTGTTGAAGCTTTATAAATGTTTTTCGTCGACTAGATTTCTAATGCATTAATATACCCCACTCCAAATAAGAAGAAAAAAGCACTTGATAATTCCTGATTTTGTGATGTCGAAAGGAGCTTTGATGTTTTATTTTTTTTTTCTTTGCTAAGGGTTTGTGTGTTGTTCATTTATGGAGATTTTTCAACAAATAACTTGGATATATAGCAGGACGCGATGACTTTTAATGAGGGTGAAATTATGTCTAGAGTTCTCTTTAATATGGGGATTGAAGTGTTTCTCCTTTCGATAGTCGTCTCAGCTTATCATTAGTTGTTGCTCAAGGATGTAGAGTTGGAAGAGTGTGGTGGGTAAAGAGATGTGATTGTTATTTTCGTTATGTAGGAGACCTTGTCGTTTCCTTATGCTATTGAAGCTTATGTTAGAGAATTTGGTGGTAGATAGTCGAGTCGGGTACGTAGTAGAAGTGGTGGATGTTCTCGAGCATTTGGGAACTCATAGAAGAATCGATTCTAAACGGCAATCCTTTTGCTCTCGACAATTGTGATGAAGTTAAGTAATACGAATCCAATGGAGGCAGTTCTATTTTAAAGATACACTCTCAAATTCAACAGAAGTTGGTCTAAACACAGAATGAATGCTACAGTACAGCTATCTTAGAATCCTTTCTGTAACTCTTTCATTGTCGTCATTGTCCATGTGTTTAGATACAAATTCGTTAGTTTTTATCTTCTTCTTGTGCCTGTCCCTCACCTTCGCTTCTGTTCATGACTTATATCTGGATCACCTTATAGCAGATAAATCCCTCCGAAACCACCTTAGTTGATATCGTGGAAAAAGGGTGAGCTGAAAATGGGTTCAGGAAAATAAACTTGTGCTTCAGCCCGAGATAATAAATGTAGTGAATACAACTTCAAGGATCAAAATAGGACTGGTCTAAGTTTACATAGACTTAGTGATGCTCCCGTAAGGATAGAAGCATTAAAAGCAACAGACTTACTAACGAAGTCTATCCTTAGTTTATATAGCCCCTTAATCGTGAGAATCATAGTAATAATCCCTTAAGTATTAAGCATAATGCACTCAAAATGTGAGTTTATATGGATCGGACTATTCACGAGATGCGGCTTTGAAGTGTGATCGTGAAGAGGGGCCTGTTCATCGTCGCATTGGAAGGCACAACGCCACGAATGGAATTACGATGATGACCATGGGCAAAATCTGATAGACTTAATTATTAGTAGTGTTTGAACAAATACTTGCAATTGATTAATAACTATCTTATATTATTTTCTCTCTTTTAGCGATTTATAACCTCACGTGTAAGTATTGCATCTAAGTCACTAATTTCAAATATAAAATCATGATTAAAGTACTAATATTTAACTTAAATTATTACAACACCTCTTTCTGCTTTAACAAATCAAATATCAAGCAACGTATATTAAATGCTTCCTACATTTGACCCATCCAAAACTACAGACAATAACTTAGATGTGTTGCTAGGACGTCGACTGTGCGTGGGTTAGCTATGTAGTTCTTCTTTGTTTGTTCAGTGTTCTCTCACTAACGGCACCATGCTCTATAATCAAGGTGATGTGTTTGAATGGACTCTTAGGGTATTATATTCCATTTCGTTATGTAATCTTTGTGAAATTTGAACGAGATTTCGTTGTTATTCTGAACTCTGGCGAAGGCATCTGAGCGCTAGCTATAATATCGTGTCTGTCCATGTTATCTTTTTCGTGCGCTGGATAGCACTTCTACTAGATCGCGTCGAAGCTAAACGATTTGTTCCTGAATATTGGAATATGAGGGAAAGGGATTTAGGACGCGTGTAATCTGAGTAGATTTACCATTTCTGTCAAGCGTCAAGAGACTTCTCTGGGAGTCCTTGGTGGATATTAATTCAATCTCTCTTCGAGATAGGAACAAAGCGAGGATTATGGTTAATAGGTATCTAGTATATTTTACTGTACGGTAACGGATCCTTCACGGAAGGTGAAGAGTTGCGAACTAACTAAGCCTTTGCATCTTCGTAAGAGGAAGTAGTGCCATTGCAATGGAGTCCTCCTCCCGCGCTGTTTCATGAGCGCAGCTAGGTTACTTTGCTGTCACTACGGCATTAGGAGTCGTATCAAGTATTGAGATGAGTGAATGCAATGGAGTAGGCGCACAGCCTTACTTGTGCCAGTTGGCATCGTGTGTTTTCCGCCGACACGAGATTGGGGGGCTAGTGTCCTGCGGTAGGATAGTGCGGCCTTTCTTTGTTTGGCGTGTGTATCAATGGCGAGACAGGAGAGAGGCCTCACCGGAACTGAGAGGTTCAGGTTATTGTTTATAGAACGTGATCCGAGGTCGATGGAGGGAGCGAGACTTCTTATGAACAATTTACTATTGCCTCTGACTCAGCGAGCTCGGCGCTTTATCTTTTCGTGGTTCTTGTCACTTACCGGGTGACAGCATTATGGCGATACCATTTGGGTAGTATACTTGGCTAGCTGTAGTGGCTGGGATCCCCATCTTTGAATCTCGGCCCTGAAGAGGCGGAAATTTCGATGAAGGGCAGTGCAAACGAGCGGCTAAGCCACAGCTTTACAAGAGTGCTGGAGCACAAGGAACTTGCTCAAGCCATTGAGATGCGCCCATTCACATACGTGGTGGGCAAGAATCAGAATAGAGATCAGACAATAGAAGCTAAGAGGCAGGTACTATCTCTAGTGAGGATCTATATCAAATAGTACTATCCTGCACTGGTATTACCGCTCAAGGGGTAGCCCACGGGAACCGGGGGGCGGGAGGTGCCCCAAGAACTCGGAGTGCTGAAGGGAATGGGAGATCAGGTTCTCATAAATGATTTGACTCCGATCAGAAATGCAGGAAAAAGACGCGGAAAAGGGTGTGCTTCAGTGCGAACTCGAGATTAGGACATGCCCTGGGATAGGGTAAACCCTGGCATAAGTGCAATAAAGAGTGTTGATTCTCTCAGGTATATTCTACCTCGTTTTGTGAAAGATGAGGAATGTCGATCTTGTATAAGAAGAGAAGGTGGATATATGCCGATCCAGGATGGTGGAGGGAAGGAATTAGAAAGTGTCATCGGAGCTATAGCTGTTAGTATTTTACACGCATCTTACTCTGTAAATCTACTATCTAAGTGGTCATCACTATACACTGCGTGAGGTCATCAATTATGATAGGTGAAGTATGTTGAGTGAATAGTGTTTTCATGCATCATACCATATGACCGCGAGCGTTAGGATACATATGCGCTTTGTTGATATTGTAAAGTGGTGTGGATCTTGAATAGGTGGTATCCCGATAATATTTCATTTTTCCACCCATGATACAGAATTCGCTTGAGGTGGTTGCGAGCTAGAGTGGAGAGATAAG